CGGAGGAGTATCCCGGGATTCGCTCGCAGAGAAGCGTGCTAACACCGGGGGTCTCGAAGCCGGGCACAGCGACAATTCGAGAGGGTGGAGTTGGGTAGGGCACCAACAGGGCACAAATGCGTGTTTTTATATATATAAATATTCATTATTAATACGGCCTTTAAAATAGATAAATACAGGATTTTAATAATAGATCAGTGGGCTTTGCCTGGAGGGATGGGGATGGTTTAGTTTTATTTGTGTTTGAGTGATTTGTTTAATTTTCTTGTACTTTGCACGACTATCGTCTTGTTGAGTACTGATTGTTGTTGTAACGTTCTTACCCGCCCCAACTGGACGCCTGTGAAAAAGAGCTTTATAGCTCATTTTATCCGTCTAATATTAATACATATTCTGAGGTATCATCTATACATAAACTTTGGCTGCAGATTGAGCGACGTCAATAACGATATATAAGTTTTCAGTTTCATTTATTTGGTATAGCCCTGTGAGCCATTCGGCTCTTGAATAACAACAACAACAACCGCCGTTCGCCACTAAGTGGCGGTGATGTCACCACGACGCTTGTGCCAGGCCATGTGCACCTTGAGGCCACGTGAACTATCGGAACGCCCGCTGGCAGGAGGTCACAGGGCAGACGCAGCTGGCAGGAGGTCACGGGGCAGACCCAGGTGCCACGATATATAAACACACACACACAATTTGTTTGTGTGACGATATCTGTTCGTTATCGCGCACGAGTGTACAAACGTCCGCGCTTCGTCCAGGGCGTTAGCGACAAACATCGCGCGGAGATTTTAGAGAGTCCCTCGGGTGACGTCAACATCTCGCCTCCGATCATCTCGAATCTTGTCCCTTTTTGTGCTGCTTGAAGATCGCTCACACGTTCCGAGTCTTTTGTTTTGACCAACGCTTCAACTTTATGCATTACCCTCAGCAATGATTTTGAGCAGGAACTTGAAATTGCTGTTTTAATTTTATATATTTTTTTTCAATGACCCGATGGCTTTTTTGTGAGAGACACCCTTTATTTAGGTAGCAGGTAAAGGTTTGTTTAGTCTTCAATGTCTACTCACATTAATGTAAAAAAACAGCTGTCAATAAAAACTGTACCTGTTCACCCAGAACTCCAAGGTAAAGTGTGATCTTGAACTAGAGAGCCCAATCTCTCCGCACGGAATAAGGAACACTGTACGAAGCATCAGCCTCCACGTTTTCCTTTTGCGTTGTCTGACACCGCAACGATGAACGCGGCGAACGTTCTTAGCTTGTACTTGGTGACCTGTACTTGTCTTCCTGTGACCAAATCACCCGGAATGTGGCCCAAGGCTTATCAGTCTCTCTCATCTCTGGTCTAGAGCTTATTCTACCGTACAACTCCATCTTTATGATCTCCATAACTCGCATTGCACTCCCACGTCTCTTCCTCGTCTGCACCTCCTTCTCTCACCTCACTCCATCCCTATTCTTTGGCTGCATATCTCTCACCTCGCTACAGTTCTATCTCGTGTCTGCGTGCCTTCTGTCACATCGCTGGGGAGTTCATAAATTAGGAGTTGTGGCCTGGGATGTGACCTAATGGACTCATTTCTTTGTTGTGGTAACCTTTTCGTTGTTTGTGCTTTTGGTTTTGGTTCCATCTATTTTTTTCTTGCTAGTAGGATTTGGTCCTTATATGTAATTAATGTACAGCGCCGTGGGATGCTATGAGCATTAATAATGCCATGTAGAATGTAAGTATTATTATAAATAAAAAAATTATGGCTGGGGTGGGAGGTTAGGGGGTGAACCACCTCAAAAGAAAGTTCTGCTTAGGGCCCCCCCCAATTATACCCCTCCACCACCACCACCACCACCACTCCCGCCCCCCACCACCAAAGGGCCAGCAGCACCACCACCACCACCAACTGAACAGTGGACGAGCAAGCACGACGCAAGACAAAGACGAGCAGGATAAGAGGGCGTCTGCCAGGAGACGACGTGGCAAGAGTCGTGGAGCAGCGGCGTCGCAGGAGGGAACGCATCAATCCCGCCCCGTTCCCAGGCCGCGTCTCCGACGCTACTGCTGGGAAGCGCACAATAGACATATGCGAAGTGCATGCTTTTCCCCTGTTGAGTGCTGATTGATGGCTGCTGCCGCCGCCAACTTAGTATTCAGGCAGCCTTAACCGAGGACCCCCTGCCTCGGGAGCAGAGGCAAAGAGCAATGATTCATACCACACTCGCGCGAGCAAAAGTTTTCGCCGATGAACGCTAGCGATGTTGATGTTTTATTGTTGCTATTTTGTATGTATGTATGTACTGTGTGTTGAACTTCTTTCGCGCCGTACGTAGCCAACCGTGCTAATCGGGGGAGTGGGGGAAAGACAAGAAACTAAACGCAAAAAGCAGTTCGAAAGAGATTAGTTTTCAATCCAGATGTAAACGTGCTTAGTTCCAGTGGCTTCCTAATATCGGAAGCGAGAGCGTCCGCATCTAAAAGCGCGCAATGCAGTGACTGTCTCTGTTCGATGGCCAGCCAAAAGCCGCTGCGAGGTTGACCGGAGTTTGGGTGATGAGTTATGCTCCTTGACGAGATCAGCGAGGTGTTGTGGTTTGTTTAAAAGCTCAACATCAACGAGTGAAATGAGAGTGGCGTTGATTTATAATGAATACTAAAGGGCCCTTTTTGGCAATCCACTGTTAGAGGAGGGCTTCCCCATGCGTGCAGGTCACGGGGTTATTTCAATTCGCTTCACCACGCTGGTCAGTGCGGGTTGAGGGTGGAGAGTATAGGACTTGGGATCATAGTACGGTACAACAATTGATTTTGCTGCAATGACATCTGCTAAAAATATAGTTCTCCAGTGGCCTGTTTCAACCGTTTCATGTGTGGTTATCACCGATTCAAAACATACTTAACTTTCAAGATGTGAAGAGATCTGGCGCATTACTGATGATAGTTTTATCACAATAATCCCTTTTTAATCTATCCAGGAAAATGTCATCAAATGTTCAGAAATTTCAGGAGAGTCCTGCTACACTGGGTTGTTGGGTCAATTTAATTGTCAGGGCCAGCAAGGCCTTTTCTGCTGGCCTAGAGATTGTCAAAATCAGAATTTTTTTTTTTTATAATTTAATATATTTTCATTAATGCTATATGTATTTTACAAAATTCGTTCCCATCAGTCTTAAAGTCATTTTATTGCTACTCTCTCCCTCAGTTGCGCTGCTTCCAGTGCAGCTCATAAATTAGAGCTTTTATACAATCAGATTTTCCACCTGTGCTGTCTCCGCCTCTCCGGGTGAAAAATCTACCCCGAGGCCTTCAGGATGTCGAGTGAATCCCCTCTGCTGTTGAAGCAAATGGTGATGATGTTGTTGATTGTCATCTTCTTTAGCCAATCAGTTTTCGAGTTTGCCATGGTGGGCGTGTTCTTTGACACGCCGGAGCCTTCTAGCTGGCCTAGCCGTCTACGTCAGCATTTTTCGTGTGGCGTGATCGGAGGGCCAGTTAGCTAACTGAAGTAAAACTAGCCAGCACGTAACGTAGCATCATCTGAGATTTATTTAAACTTTCTTTCGTGACGTTTACATTTTTAGATGCAGTGCTTTATATTATTGGGTCTTTCGGTAAAGTCACGTAGATAGGTTCAAAGAAAATAACAAAAACTACGACGTTTCGATCGCAACACAAGCAATCGTCATCAGGAGAAAAAAAAAGCTTTTTTTTTCTCCTGATGACGATTGCTTGTGTTGAATATAAATTCCTGCAGTCACGAAAGCTTTAAGTCCAAGATGTAGTGCTTTAGATTTTTTTTTCTGTGGGGAAGCCTATTGCATCCTGATTGTGTTATTTGTGTTTTACGGCATTTTTGCTTGCTTGGTGGCCGTATGAGTAAATGCGACTGGTTGTTGTGAGTTTGCTCTTGTTTCTTTGGTAATGACATTGATTTGGGCTATGCGATGTCTATTTGTGATGCAGCATCCTGTCATCCTGCGTAATTGTGGTACATCCTTGATGGTTTTAGTCACCATGTATTCATGTCTCTGCAATTAGTGTATTGTAACTCTCATAGGTGTTGAGCATCGTGTTAAATCACTTTATTCCACTCGATAAAGGTTACTGTCATTGCGAATATGGGTTGGTTAGCGTCGAATGACAACAGCCTATAGCACGGTGAGGTTGTTTCGAAAGGCGGATTCATTGCGTGAGGATAGCACTGAAGGCCTCGGTGTAAAATACACGGCCCGCCACTGTCCATGATGTATCCACCGCTGGATGAAGGCCTCCCCATGCCGCCACCATCTCCCGCAAAATCCATCCCAGCTCCTGCACAGGAGGCGATCTCATCACTCCTCCTCTGCAGTGAACATTATCTCGGGCGCGCTCCCTCCGCTGGGTGCCACTCCACCCGTTAGTTTTGATGACCAGAGCCATCGGCTCTGCTCGCGAAGCGACCTACCCAAGCCCACAATCTTATATCATGCGTTTAACCTGCGTGGATATATGTCATCTAATCCATGCATCCTTCTTCTTCCTGCCTCCTCTGTGTAATTACAAGCACGCGCCTCTCCAAGCTTCTTTGCGGACTTTATGCATTTCAATTCGTTTATTTTGTCAATGTATTTCGAGCCACGTGTCACATCAGGTGATATAATACCCTGATTACACCCCGTCTTTCTTTAGGCACATTGGTAAGTTGCTTTTCATTTGTTAGACGTTAGTATTCCAAAAGCACTTTCATCCTCCACTCGTCCGCCTCTTTATGAAATACTTTTTTTTAATCTAGGTCCGCCTTCAATTACTACCCAAGGTAAACACGCAGTTCTCTGGTGAGTTTATCAGTCGTGTCCCTCACTGGAGTGTAAAGTGACCGTTGTAACATCACCGACAGCAATATTTCTCAGAACGCAACATGTGTATATGCATGTTGAACTTCCTTCGCACCGTACGTAGCCAACCGTGCTAATCGGAGGTGCGGGGGGGGGGGATAAGAAACTCAACACAAACAGAAAAATGCGACAATTGTTATGAATGTATTTTAAAAGAATGATACATTTTCCACAACATATTCTGCTGTAACACGAGATACAAAAAAGACTATGTTAGATAAACATTAGGGTTATAGTACATATTTGAGCCATAAAAAAATATGTAAATATACAGGGAGATCCAATGTATAGATATCCTTTGAAAATAATAATCAACAGCAGCCATGATCGATCCACTGCTGGATAAAGGCCTTCCCAATACGTTGACAACCACTACTATGAAGGGTAACAGGGATAAATGACAGATAAAACTGCATTGTTATTCAGAGCCTCTACACCGTTCTCCCACCAATCACAATCGACTCATTACATTTTTAAGCACTCTGCTGATGCACCTTGTCTGACGTAGCCAGTCTTATTTGCTTACAAACACGTTCAGAATTAAGTTAACTTTAATGGATCACCCTGTATATTATAAATGTATAGTGTGTACATTGCTTTATACGTGATAAAAGTATGTAATTATGCAGTGAATAATGCAGCGTTTCCCAAACTCCAGTCGTCATGTTTACCAATTTACTCCTCCCGTTCATATACACGTTAACTCGTTCCACGCTGCACAAGCCATATGATTGTTAAACACGTTCCACGTAACGCTGTCTGCGTTAAGAGCCGATTCAAATCAAGATTGCAATCTCAGTGTACGTGTATACGTGTGTGTACACGTGTTTCATGCATGTGTCTGTGTGCACGTGTTCCACGTGACCCAGCCAGCGTTAATTTGCACAGCGCGGCACGTGGGACGTGTTAAGCAATCATCGGGCGCGTGCAGGGTGAACCGAGTACAAATGTATTTGAATGGGAGGAGCAAATTGGTGAATTGGTAAACTCGCAAGGACTGGAGTTTGAGAAACCCTGGGAAAAAATGCAATTAATATTTGTGTGCATTGCATTATGCGCTGAATAATGACAAAAAATTAACTGGCCTCGCCCCATGTGAACGCCTCTCGCCCAGCGTGAGCTCGAGTTAAGCGATCACAAAGTCGAGGCGTTCGCGCGCGGTTATTTACCGCGCGCGGGGGACTTATTCTTCTCCTTACGTCTTCCGTCGACAGATATCGGTCTTGGCACAGTGAGCCCTACGAGAGAGAAAAAAAAAACGACGTCAACACAAAATCTCCCGACCAGCAAACGATCGCTCTGACAATGGGCTTTTTTTGTTGTTGTATTTAATTAATTTAATTAAAACTAATTAAACTAAACCTGTAAAATGTTTTTTTTTATTTTGCCTGGTGAGTTATATAACTCTCAACGAAGTGGCTTATCGCGTGTAAATGTACAGAAGCCGCATTACTCTAAACGCGTGACGGAGTTGCAGCCGAGGCGTTCCCACGAGGCACCGATTTTATGTGCAAGACAACAGTGGTTGTCATTTGGTAAGACGCGTCCTTGCCATAGCAATGTGGAAATTTCACCATTAGCTCAGGGCTGTAAACAGGAGATGAGTACCACCCAACTGTGAACTGAAGAGGAAACCCAAGTCTATTGTCCTGTATCCTCGACAATAGACTTGAGATGGAAGTGAGACGTGGAGGCTGTTTATAGCAGAAAGGAAATTGGGCAGTAGAGTTTATTATGAAAGTTTTCATCATAATTTGGAACATATTACCTGCAAATACATGGACCATTCTTTTTTAAAGGCAAACACAGCGGTTTTTCTTTTGCGGCGAAATGAAAAGCAACAAAGCTTACGAGGGAGGTGTGGAATGTGTTTGGGTGCCCGCCAAATGTAACATTATCTTGTTTAATTGTGCATAGCTTAACACAGACAAGTCATTAATGCGAGCTAAACGTTTTTGTACATTTTTTTTACATTTCAAGAGCAGAGTTGTTCCAAAAGTGTGCGTAAAACGGTTTACAAAAAAACTAATTGTCAAAATAACATTTGACTTATGCTTTCTGACTGACAACATATTACTGCGAATATCTTTGGCCAGAAAAAAACGCAACAATAAGTGTAACTCATGTTGAAATGTTTTACTGACAACTGGAAAAAAAAATACTTGGCCAAATCCACTTGAAATAGCAACGCTTTCAGCTTTTCGCTGCCAAAATTCTGCAGAAACGATCCCTCCGTCAGCGCTCTAGCAGTGCCTTCTGCTGCCTGTCATGCATCTTGAAAAACGTGGCACTGTGTGCAGAGCTCCGCTTTGCATCAGCGATATCTGCAATTCACAATGTACATATTGCCTGCTGTGCCACGTGGCTCAGAAAATAATGAACGCTGCCAACGAAAACGAAACGAATGCTGAAAAGTGCGCAAAGACGCGTGGAGATCTACACGCTTGGAAATGTACATTGAGAGACCCAGAGAGGAACAGATGGGCTTGGGCAAGACACACCGCAAGAATGGGTTGACGGGGCTCTGGTAGAGACTGATGATCGAGAGGGGCAGCCAAAGGAGAGAACGAGCCCGTCAGTACGTCCACACGGAGGAGACGGAGCGGTGAAATTTGCGTGTGTGCAGGTGCTGATGAGAGCCATGAATCGTTGCATCACCGACACCTTGCGGGATTGTGATGGCTTGGAGAGGCCTTCAGCCAGCAGTGGTTAGATGATGACTGATGATGATCATGTGACGCAACTAATTAACACGTTTCTTTCCAGAACACGTATGTATGCTTTATATGTTGCCGTGAATGGCTACGCCTATACGTGATGGAAAGTATCACGCAATTCATTGCAAGTCTCAAGAGCGAAATAAGGTTAGGCCCCACTGAAACGAACGGTCTTTTTCAAGACTCAAAACAAAAAAAAAGTAGCAAATAATTCACGTTGAACATCATACACCTCAACACAATAATGACACGTTCTGTAATGTACGTTTAAGAAAGTTAAATGGGTGTTCTAATGACTTAATTAACAGTACTGTATTTAACTGTTGGGTATCGTTAAAAAAACAAACTTTACATGCAAATCCGATTGACCATTAACAAATAAAACCCACTGTCCAGGAAGGAATAATGTTGTTGGAACATAAAGAGAATGCACAATGCTCATCCTTGCATGGGCAACATCGTGATTTAGAGAACGAGATCGAATTTACCAGGGGTGGCGAGTGCGAGAATCCATCGATTTCTCATTCCCAACATAGATGCTCATGCATTGACCCCACACATGGAAAACAATATCGGTTTTATTCGTATATTTTGCATGTAGGTGGCTTCATGTAATCCTTGCATCCACCAGAGGCCGCTATATTCAACACAATGTAAAAAAAGAGAACCCCATCTGATTCTGGAATTGGAACGCAACCCTGAATCCCCGAATCGCTACACCCCCTCGACTATTCACTTTTCACGAATTATAATAAAAGGTTCATTGCCCGAAACATCACCTCTAAATATATCTTTCATTTTAAGGCCACGCAGTTGTTTTTGTTATTGACTCACGTACTCTTTGGTTCTATTCGGTAAAGTCACGTAGGTAAAAAATAAAACAAAAATCACCTACGTGACTTAACCGAATAGGACCAAAGATTATGGATCCTTGCAGTCACGAAAGCTTTAAATCTAGAATTGACTCACGTGTTCAGTTTTTTTTTGTTTAAATGGTGCTCGTGCAGCATTGCAATCGTAGCATCAGCAGCCAGCATCACTAAAATGAAAATAATTCATCTCCTCTTGGGGGGAATAACGGCAAGGAAATTTGAGGCAACGTCCCAAAAACTTGACAAATCGAGACGTTGGGACTCTTACATTTTTTTGTTTGCCTTTAGTTTGTTATACCCCCACCCCCCCGCACCTCCGATTAGCACGGTTGCCGACGTACGGTGCGACAGAAGTTCAGCATACGTGACAACAACAACAGCCATTCGCCACTAAGTGGCCGTGACGTCACCACGGCGCTTGTGCCAGGCTAGGTGGACTTTAAGGCCACGTGAAGTGTCCAACGCCCGCCGGCTGGAGGTCACGGGACAGACCCAGAGGTGCCATGGGACGATTGACTCAGATGACTGACCGATGCACCACCTGTGCCCCCTACTGTGCCAACTGGCTGTGTTTTATCTCCACCGTCGCTCCGCTCGTTGTTGTGAGCATTTAAACTGGCATACATACAGACAGACATACAACTGACCCCCCCTCCCTTCTCCTTGGCACGGGAGTGGCGCGTGCCGGGCGTCCGTCTACACCGGGTGTACGTAGTTGCGGTTGCAGTGCGGCAGGCAGTGCGGGTTGAGCCAGTGCTCCAGGTTACGCTCCTCCACCCGCGCCTCCAGCACCTGCAGGTGCATCAGGTACTCCTGCACGCCACACACAGACAAAGGTCATCCTCAACTCCCACCCCCCGCTGCCATATAGCCCAGGGGTCGGCAAACCTACGGCTCTTTCAGGGCTGCCTCGTGACGTTATTTATTAAGGACCACCGTGTCTCGTATTCGCATGCATTTGAGGCCCTTCAAATATTGCGGGGTCGGTTTTTTTTTTGTACCGGATTCGAAACAAAAATCGCTCTGCTTGTTACTGTGGTTGCCGACCCACTTGGTATCGACTCTTGCAAGCCGTCGAGGCAAGTGCCGTTAACGAGAAGCCGCTAAGGCCCACGGTGCCCTCATCAAGGGGGTCGCGGTGTGGGGAAGCATCCATCACGCCCAGCCGTCGTCTTCCCAGTGCCGATGTCATCGCACACTCTGCACCACGGGAGGCCCGGAGTGATATTAGAAACCGGCCCATAAGCGGCTCTGATAACACTTGCCAACTGATGCTATCTCTTAGGCATGCCACTGCTGGATGAATTCACCCACCCATCCCCACCACCCCTGCCGTGTCGGTCGTGGGGGTTGTTTAACCATATTTCACCACGCTGGTCAGTGTGGGTGGTGAATTGGTTGGGGAGGGGTGGAGGGTGAACGGGGCAAAGGCCAGGTTTTTTTTGTTTATTTGTTTGGAATAGTACACTTACATAAATCAAACCGGTGGATCGCTATAAATTAATCGGTTTGAACTCTTGCGACCCAAAATGTTTAAAACTGCCACTTAGACTGACGACTACGCAGCCGGTGCCTCCGGGGTTGGCGTTTGCGTCACTGAGCGGCTGCCGCTTAACAGACAGAATGGATGCTTGGTCTGGGTTCAGACGGCAAAGCGTGGCCGCGGAGTTGTAATTCAAAGGGCTTTTTTTTAACCACCGAGAGCAGCGCACAAAGGATGGTCCAGTGTGCGGTACGGCTGGGGGGCGGGGCGTGGGGGTCTTTAAAGCGCGGTCTAATAAACCAGCAAAGGCATGAATCATGCTGCTAGTGAAACCCGGCCTCACTTCACCCCGCACTGATCCCCCCACCGCCAGGCTCTTCCACCACTGCCACAATCAGCAGCAACCAGGGGCGCCGAGTAACAGAGCCCGCAAGGCAGCGATTGATGTAGGTTCCGAAACTGTCTCCTTCAACACGGAGAGTACGCCATTACATACTGGTTGGCTACGTACGGTCCGAAATGAAGTTCCACATACATACGTGTTACCAGTAGATTAATTTTACGTTTGATCATATTTGTATTTTATAATTATATATCCCAATGCTGGTTAAAAGCGGGATATGATGAGTGTTGGCAGCGGTGTTGTTATATCTAAGGTTAAATGAATGTGAATCCAGGATTAATATTGATACAGTATAGAGTTCTTCCTTGAAAATGAGACCGTCTTAACGGGTCTTATCTGGTTTATAAGGGGTATGTATGACTGGTATACCCACATGTGTACACGTATATTACTTTAATCAATTCGCGACCGACTTAAGGGCCACCCCACGCCTGTAAGAGTCATGGGGGTTTATTTGACCAGAGGTCACTTGAAAAGGTATCAGGGGGCAGCTCCGTGATATCCGCTTCTGCGGGCCGTTGTCTGACACTACGTGGTCTTCTTGTTATCTCGTGACATGACGCCGATAGCAAGCAAGCAAATAAAAAAAACGGATAAAATGCAACCAACATTTTTGTTATTGTTGTAAAAAAACAAAAATACGTGAAAGGCAGGGACTCAAGGTGGACGCGCTGGAGGGCAGTACCCGCATCGGCTCATCGGCGTGCCCAGCCTTGGGGTTGGGGTAGCCGTGGTCCGGGGGGCTGCGCTTGCTGCGCAGAATCTGGTTGGCTTGCTCCTGCGTCAGGATCGGAGTCGACTCTGCAACGAACGGGACAAAGCAACTTGTGCCGCGCGTTGTTCTGCCACGGTTGTCCGACGGTGTTTTTCGCTCCCGGCTCTCAGGGCAAGACGCGTCGGCTCCAGGTGCTTGGGAGTGTCTTATAAAAGGCTCCGAGGGAAAACGTTGGACATCCCGCGCCGAGCGACACGCGGTGCAACCTGCAAACGCCGTGCGGGGCTGTGGGCAACACAGCCGTGAAAACCCTACGCAGTAAGGAAATCAACGGAACCGCAAATCAAACCAAATCTCCCTTCGTAATTGCCTGGGGAATGCCAGGCGTGGGCTGCAAGGTGGTAAACTAGCAATTGATTGAAAATCTATCTGCGTGACAACTTGAGTGTCGTCCCCTCGTATGTGTCTTTTTTTTGTTTCCTGTGAGCACTGCACTGCGGTATCCAAATGTCCCAATGCAGGAAGACCCATGTCAAAAACAGTTTTGAGGCTCTTTTGAGGCTCGGTGTGAATTTTCTCGGTAAGTGAAGAACATCACAATGTGTACACTACAGTGGCAGTCCTGCAGTGTCTGCTTAAGAAAGGTCATTTACATAATTATCATCATCATCACAACTATCACACCACCACAAACATTTAAAACAAGTTTTGAAGAAAAAGTTATCAATAACAATTTAGCAAAATACTGGACACGCAACACGGCCCTCTTGAAAATATAACTTTCAAAAAAGTGCAGCAGAACTTTTGACAATTAAAGTTTTTACTGCATATATCCATTCAGTATTAAATAAACAAAGTCCTGTTTCACTATCGTAAAATAAAAGTAACTATAAAATAACGTATCCAACATTGGATACGCAGCAATACTAACAGTACATTGTGTACACGTGTTGCTGTCCTGAAATGAACGGGCATCATAGTGTTCATGGAGGGCTCTTGCCTCTAAAATCAAGCAACCCAGGAGCATGTCGAACAGACCACACTCTTGTGAAGAGACCCAGATAAGTAAAAATCAGATTGAATGTTTTCCTGCTGAGACAAATTCTATTGGAACGCCTTGGTCCAGAAGGCCCACTGGCTGGTGAACCTAATTTGTTATTATATATAGTTTATGGTGAAACAGGAGCTTATCTTCCCTCTTAGTGTTTCACTGGGTGACCCTGAGATATTTAGAGGTCGTTATGGCCTTCTAAAGTCCGTGCCAACTTTTACACGTCCATTACAAGGAAGCTCGGCCCAGAATCTGTGGAATGTTGGAATCATTTAGGAAATATTTTTTGGAAATTTTCATGAATATTTATATGGAAGGAATGTATGAATGTACGTTGATTTTATTTTCGCCCCGTACGTAGCCAACCGTGTTAATCGGAGGTGCGGAGGAAGGACAACAAACTAAACACAGAAAGCAGTGCTAAAGAAATGGGTTTTCAATCTAGATTAAAAGGTGCATAGCTCAAGTGACTTCCGAATAAAGGAAGGAAGCCAGCAAGCCATGTGTAAGTATGCAAAAAACCCCTCATCAACTTTATAAGCCAAACCCACACTTAATAGGCATTCACTTACTGCTTACAGCCTTGAGCCAGTGGTGGGAATTCCAAATTCCCATGATATGGATGAGTATTTCCATAAAGTAACCGTTGCTGACTTCTCCACTAAATAATACACATTAATATTGCTTGTAGAATACATATATGACGCTAAAACATGTTTAGGCAATGACCCATTAAAGCCATTCGTTGTAGATGATTGCTGATACTCTCTTATTGTCAAAGAGATCATATGCCATGCCGGATATACAAAGCATATTAAACATGCGTGTACGTTCGCATGCGGAACACTGCAGTAAGCGAAGCACGTGTAAAAGCAATTTCAATGTGCATTTTTAAATAATGAAATGCGGGACTGTATTTACTGATGTTGCTAAGAGTCATGCTACGTTGCAGTGGTTACCCAGATAAACACAAGTGTGTTTTTTTTTAAATACACCCAAGTGGTTCAGTGATGATCAAGTCTTTTTTATATTATGGCTGTGCTCCATGATTCTAGCAAGATGTTGAAGCTTATGGATTTTCAATTATGATAATTTATTTCTAACATCATCATCATCAACCATGATCAATCCACTGCTGGATGAAGGCCTCTCCAAGCCACCGCTACCCAATACAATCCCGCGATGCAAAAATCCACCAAAGACCCTGCACACGAGCTGATGTTATTGCTCCATCTGATTGGTCAAGTCCTCTCGGACGCATTCCATCCCTAGGCCTTTTTTTAAGTGAGCTTGAATCGTGTATTTAACTTGCCTATGCTCTCTAATCCGTGTATTCCTCTTGCTGTACCAATGCAATTTCAAGCACGCTTCTCTCCATGCTTCTTTGTGCATTTTAAATCTTTGTTCCATTAAAAACAAGGCATTTATATTTTTTACATGCCACCAAAATTTTATGTCACGCTACAAAAAGGTAAGAATACATTTGGCAAACGTTCCTTCATATACGATGTCTCTCACACGTGGAACAAAATTGCATCTAATCTACGTTTATAATCTGTTCCATCACTTTAAAATAAAATTTCGCTAGCACCATTTGGAAATGATAAATGCACATATTTCGCAAACTAAAAATGTGTTATTTCATATTAATTAGTTATCTTGGGAAATTGTTTCGTCTTGTGTCTTCTATTAAACTTTTTAGCATTGAAATTGTCTTTTCTGCTGCACGGACTTAATCTGAAGTCTGACGAGAAAGATCAGATCCATGGTCTGAGTTGACTGTTATTTGCTCAAAAATAAAAGTCTCAATCATAATTCTATTTTTGTAATAAAATTATCAATTACTTAATGATTGTGTTTTCAAAGGTGCTCAGTATTAATGCAACACGATTGCAGTATACAGCACTTCGTATTAAAATTATATTATAAAGTGGTCGTTTTACGTGAGAAATTTAATATTTTTGAGTCGCGTCTTGAGTATAAGTTTGTATCGTACATTACATGAGAATGTTTGTGATCATCTAATTTAAAAATTATATTATCTGTAACGTTACACGGATAAGTAATATTTGCTAATTTGTATTGAAAGCTTAAGTAACGAATCAGTATAAACATATTCACGTTAACATCAGCATAAAAGAAAACCATTATGGATAAAACACAAACACAATTAATTTATTTCAGATGCGACAACTGACGAGAATAAAAAAAACGTACACCTAAATCGACTTCTGAATCATTGCTTCCAGGCATAAACAACATCGCAAATGTTAAACCATCACCTCTTGCCACAAACTCAACACTGAAACCTCAAACGATGTGTTAATAACACTGCCGTTATAGGAACAAGTATACAACAGGTGATGTTTCGGGCAATGATCCTTCTTCGTGAGCTATGTAGAAGGGCCATTGTCCAAAACGTCGTCTATTAAATCAGTGGTTCTTCTTAACCTGGGGTGCACGCACCGCCTGGGGGTGCGAGATGCCCTTTCTGGGGGGTGCCGAGACATTCCAGATTTTTTCTGGAAGGTAAATAATAGACAACACAAATTAAGCACGGGCACGTGAGCACACTTAACTTGTATAATCAAAACCTATATTTATTAACATTATACATTTTTGTATGATTGAGAACCGCTGTATTATATAGTTTCCTTTTCAGGCCACCACACCCCGTGTTATTGACGAACGTGTTGATTGTCGTCGTCGTTATTTACCCTTATGCACCACTGCCAACGCAGCATCGCCAAATGTGTTTTGCTCAACACTGAACGCTTACCTGCCATCAAAAACAGCAAAGTGGCGCTCAAGGCAAGCGCCACGATCGTACGCATGGTGGCTGGCGAGTTGCTCCCGTTCCTTGTAGCAGCACGGTGGATATATGTTTGACGTGGCACAAAACTTCCACGCGTTCTGCAACCTTTCCCTCTCCTGGCCGCCTTTAAGGTATTACGCAGATCCGAGCCACTGGCAGTGTCATCGAATTCTGTCAGGTGCCTGCCAAAAGGCCCCCGTCATTAAACATTCCAGTCAAGTTTCACACAACTCCCTTTTCGGTGGCTTGTTTATGTCACGGACGTGGTGGTTCAGTAGCAATGTCAAGGGCAACGCCTTCTTTTGCTCATTCATATTTTAAATGTTGACTTAAGAGACGTGTTACCACGTTGCCAATTCAGGTATTTTAATACAAAATGTGTACAGTATGCATTAAGATTGCATCTGCATGTCTTCCAAATGGAAAGCGATTGCGTTGAATCCCCAGTGTAAAAGAGAACATTTATTTGGAAATGTTTTTTTTTAACTTGCTGTAAATATTGGCATTCATAGTTATAACACAAGAGTGGTTCAATAATTAATTTCACTGTAAATTATATTGCGGCCTATGTGAGTGCAATTGTGTGCTGATTGGATTATAACCCTTGTAATTGTGCAATATCTATCTTTTGCAGACTTTGTCGTCAGATGGACGATCAAATATGACAGCACCCTTGCACAAGTGCAACTTAGAACAGCAGTGAGTTGTTTCGTTTTCTGTCTTCTTAAGGGTGTAAAGACAAGCGGAATTGATCAAAGAATAAAAATGTAATACGACACTGTTTGAATCGAGGCAATGTTCACACACGGGTGGAGCTGCGGCATTGAAGCTTTCAGAAATTCGGCCAATGAGGCATAGTAAATGCAAATTCTGTTCAGATTACAGCATTCCATTGCCATTTTTGGTAGACACTGGACACACTTTTTGGGCATTCAATTTGTCATGGATTATTGCATGAACCCTTCCCAGACTCATCCCTACGACTAAACACCTACTCGGCTGAAATGCAATATCAGTCTCTCCACACACGTGACGTTGACTGTCGTTGAAGCATCGACTAAGCCGATCACTTCTGTCACCCACTGAAGCGATTTCACCAATTTCACCAATTTAAAAACATTGCCATCCTTCACACATTTTCATTGTACAAATTCATTCTTTCATAGATTTCGCTCACCATAACACCAGCAGAGAAACACAAAAATAAGAGCTTGCTGCTCTGCTTATGTGCAGTTGTGCAAGGGTGCGATGATGCCGATTTTGATCATGTGATGTCTGCCACCTCGTGGAAAAAAATATTTTAAAATACAGTATTGCCCATGAGTACCATGATAAAAACCCCATTCGCTCTGCAATTTTTACCGATGTCACATTGACATAGGTTCGATGCTTATTAAAAGTATATTTTCTTATTGAACAACCCTTTATTTATTTGAATATAGTGTACTGCATGTGTTTTGTATTCAATTTAGATTACACAACACAATCATTAAAAGGCAGTAACACATTTTCCTTAATTTTTATTTGTAAAATGATGACAATTTACGTAGCGATATTTTAAATGTATGCAAGTGGTATTATTACATCACAGGATTGCGAGACATGGCGACAGCTTAGGGAGACCTTTGTTGAGCAGTGGATTGATCCTGGCTGCGGCTGCTGCTGATTATACTCTATTGATAAATACAATCTTAATATTTTATTTTCATTTATTTGTTTTAACCGAGTAAAAACTGGAGCAAACAATTCACTAAATGTAACCACTACATTTCAATTCCGTGTGACAAATAAACGACAAAAAAAATCACTTCAATTCATGCTATATATTTTTTTAATAAGCGCTTGGTTTAGAAAGATTAAAAGTCATTTTCCTGCACAAGGTACGAGATATCACATTCCAGAATATTCTCCAGCTTTGCCGTTCAACTTGGGGTCCACGTGGACCCTCTCGTTACTCATTCCAGCTCCCCGTGACAACACTGGAAGAGGTGTCATGTGGTGAGAATTCAAAGGATCGTCCAACTCACACATTCACACAGCCCCTGAACAACATGTGCCCTAGAATAGTTCACACCAGCAGTGTCGACGCACGATACGTTGCGATCTTTCCACATCTGACATTGGCGTATAATTCTAGTAAGCTGATATTGCAAATATAACAGTACAATGCATTGAATGGCTGTGTAACAGTACTGTGTGTGTATCACATTAAGTTACCAAACACCAAAGTGCACATTTGAAGGTTTTGAAAGGTAGTACAAGCTCTCTAAGAAACTATTCGGTAAGGGTGCAGCCCTGCAATTACTTGGCAACATAACTGACACAGAAGCGCCTCAACTCGAGGGAGCCCTATGTCGCCCCTTATAAACAACAACTTTAGACAGCCCCTCTAGAGGGTTATTTTGGCCAACTCATCCACACTGGCCAGGCGTAGGAAAAGCCACACCATTCCCCACTACCTGCCAATAGACTGTGAACAACATTTCACCTGGAATAATCCACTCGGACGGTGACACACAGCACTCTGAGATTTGCCATGTCTAACATTCAAGTAAGCGCATAACAAGCAAAAGGAATTTGTCAGTTACGTAATGCATTCAACAGTTACATACGGTACTGTATCATGTCCATAATCAAATTTGTAATTTATAATAAAACTCATCATACCAATAAAAAAAATCATTGCAGGTTAGAAAACCATATGTTTCAATCTACACAATAGAAAGGTGTACCAAAAAGCAGCGGTGCATTTTGCAAAAAAACATCTACAGCTCCTGAGGAACTGCATTGAGTGCTCCCTGCTGCGAAGTCTGCCTATGGGACCCATTAGTTTGGCGCATGCCACCAATGATAACAGCGGTATATTACGAGAATAACCAGCAAAGCATAATGCATAATACACACAGGCGGAGTGCTTTATGTACACATAATATGGAATAAAAACACATTAAGTACACCATGTGCACATTTTACCCTGTTGAAGTGCAAACGTCTCTAAACAACATGCTCCTTGGAATAATTTACGTAATGTAGCACAACACGCATAAGATTGTCCACGTCAAACACTGGCGTATCAGACGAGCAGGCTGATATTACCTATTATAATCACCCACAAATGTCTGTCCGTCCCGCGCGTGACGTTGCTCCATGTGACGTCACTCCACATGCCGCACCCCTCCTCAATAACCATTAGCGGGTGACGTCACTCCACATGGGGCAACCCCCCCCCTCATTAATAATAATGAGCTGAAATTTTTTTCTATTGAATATTTCAGATTTACTGCAATATACACCCGTCCTTGGACGGGCAAAAAAGCTAGTTGCAAATAACAGCGCCGGCACAAGTATAACGCGTCTCACCGCCCAGGGTGCCGCCGCAGTGTCCACCAGGCCGCGGGCCTACTTCGAGACCCTACGTCTTGACACCGAGGTGGATCGCCGCCACCACCACCACCACCACAAAAAAAGCAGAAAGGAAAAGGAAGCCAGACATGGACTCCTCGGCCACCTCAAGAGCCACCGCCAACACTTATGGACGTCATCCTCGAACCCCGAGAAACTGCCAACGACGACGACGAAAAATGTCTACTATTTTCATATTATACTGTATATCATTTTTTTGTCCATAAACTGCTGGATGAAGGCATTTCCATTCCGTGTAAGTCACGTGTTGTTTGACAATACTTCGCCATGCTGGTCAGTGCCGGTTGGTGAAAGGGTGGACACTATCAGTGCTGATATCACCCACCACTGAAGTTTGCCCTGGCTGGTAATATAACTAATTTACGGGTGTATAGTGCAGGGCAGTAACCACTGTGCCATGTTAAGAGTGGCACAAACCTCCCTCTCAAGCTCCACGCAACCCATGTCTGTCACACTGTGATGAATGATATATTAATTCTCCCTGCTGGAATTTAGGAATTGCATGACCAACTTTTACATGATGTTTTTTTCTTTACGCAGTCACTGGTGACCAGGCTGAGACCATCAGCTAACTGATTTTGAGAACGGTAACTTAACCCACGGCCAGCTGCTTAGATTCAAACCCAAGCTCCCAGCAGTGCCAGCTCAGTGCTCTGACCACCGGACCTCATGTCCACCGCCTTTTGGGGGTCAAAATAAAAAAAAACGGTTCTTACATTTACATAGTTTCAGGCAAAGACTCAACTAAAATTCGTGCAATAATTAAGATTATTAAGGCATCGCCATGCTGTGTCAGTCATGGGGGTTTGTTGTTTTGCACCCGTCAGGAACATTATTCAAATTTACATCACCACTGACTCGGTCAAAATCATCTGACTTGTATGAGAAGATAATAACTCTATGTATGTTGAACTTCTGTCGCACCGTACACAGCCGACCGTGCTAATAACTGCTGTCCAACAGGCAGCGAAACGATGGTTCAGAAGGTTAATATTGCATCCCCGTCCGACAGAAACGGTGCTCGAATGTCCTCTGTGCACTCTGAGAAAAATAACTGTGAATGTTTTAAAATAATCTTTTGCACCGCTGAGTGATTGAGTGTGCAGAGAAGACCTTATCAGATGAGGAAGTTCCTGTGGCTGTGACTATGAGTCTATTTGTTTGGAATGACCACCCAGGTTATGGTGCCGTGTATTTCTTTTGTTCCCGAGAACCCGTCATTTTAAAAGTAGAAGTATTAACAAAGCCGCCACCCGTGTGCCAGAGTGTTTTCTTTCTGCTGCTTGCAGCCACTCGGCCGATGGCGGTAAACATCTTTGTCTCGGTTGGCTTCCTTCCTGAGAAGAACTTCATCTACAAGGGTGGGCAGGGGGGGGCGTTCAGGCGGGGGTTCCGTTGAAATAACGTTCGGATGTCGTTCGGTCCGTTATGGGGTGGCGATGCGTTTGTGCAGCAGCGCTCTGATAGCTGGTGTGAGGACGATCGCCTTCATCAACACTCGATGTTTTTACTGCGCCTCCCACGCAGTACATCTGAAGGCGCCAGCGCAAGGAGTGTTTGAGATAATTCCTCGGTGAGGAAGCGACTGCAGACCGAATATGTACAATGTTAAAATCGAGTGCAATATGAGCAACGTTCAAAACAAAGGAATAGAGTTGAAAGGCCAAAATATTCTGGGTACTCTCTCTGAGTTGTCTACTTAATTTCAGCTACTCGTACACTTTCTGAAAGTAGTTACTTTAATTTAATCTTAAAC